CCAAACCCACAATTCTCTTTCTCTCACCTCCTCAACTCTCAGCTCTTCTCAGGCATTGGAAACATGCACCCCAACAGCACCAACCCATCTGAATTCTCTCGTTTTTATCCCGAACCCAAGGTTCCAAACCCTGAAGAAATCAGCCATAAGAAGACTGAGCCGGAACCATTAACGGGCTCGACCGCCTCGGGAGCTCAGACCCAGTCTGCTAAAAAGAAAGGGGAAAAGAAGGTGAAAAGACCAAGGTATGCTTTTCAAACAAGGAGCCAGGTTGATATATTGGATGATGGTTATCGTTGGAGAAAATATGGGCAAAAAGCAGTGAAGAATAACAAATTCCCAAGGTTAGTTGACTACTTCTCTCCTTGATCGATGCTCTCTCTCTCTCTTAGTTTTCTCTCCATCTCTAGATTATCTCTTTCTCTCTCTATCTCTAGATTATCTCTCTCTATCTATATATTTCGCTCTTTCTCTAGATTATCTCTTTCTTTCCCTCTTTATGTCTAGATTATCTCTTTCTTTCTCTATCTATGTCTAGATTATCTCTCTTTCTCTCTTTGTCTAGATTATCTCTCTTTCTCTCTCTATCTGTGATGGGTGGCAAGTTTTTGCAATCTTACTTGCAAAACTAACGATTTGATGTTGGAATTATCCTTCTTGTATTGATAATTATAGCTAATTATCGTGGCTACTACATATATAGTTGGGAGACAGAGACAGATGAATACGAATTTTCATTATTACATGCTACGTATGCTGTATTATCGTGCTTCTCATGAACAAATGTCTGGAGAGAGAGAGAGAGAGAGAAAGATGCTTCACATGTGAATTGTGGTAATGGTGCAGTTGCCTCAGATTGTGACATGGGTAGTTGGCCATGATCCAGAAGTCTAGGGTTTCTTAACTGTTGAGTACATTCTAGATAGAGAGAGAGAGAGAGAGAGAGAGAGAGAGAGAGAGAGNGTGGTGGACGTCTAGGTCTTAACTAGTAGTAGGTAAGTTGTCGTAGTGGTAGTACGTAAGTAAGACGTAGTAGGTAACGGGTAAGTAAA